ACTTCTGCAAACTGAGAGCCCGTGCTCATAGAATCTGCTTGTGTGATTTTGTTTCTTCAGCATTGAAACAATTTTTATTTAACATCGCCATGGAGTTACTTTACTAAGGACCTGGTTTTTCAGCTCTCACTGACAACACCCCTGTGGAAATCCTACCTAACGCTCAGTAGGATCAAATCGTACTTCCATTCACTTTGAAAAAAATCTGATCTCTTCATTTTCATCATATCTGTTAAAGCTTGGAAGTGACTCAGCTGAAGAATGATCCCGGTCCCTTGGAGATCCCAGGCAATGGGGTTGCTCTTCAGCAGTTCTATTTTGTTGCAATAGCCCAGGCTTGCATACACAGACCCTGCAGCTTTGAGAGATGACAGCAGTACTGATGGGATCTCCAATCTTTTTGTGCCCAAAGGGTGCAAAATAGAAGCTCCAGAGAATAGTTCAAGACAGAAAACACTTTTAGGTCTGTTTTCTCCATAGAGTGCGAGGCCGGACTGTTTTCTAGTTTATTCCATTCAGAAAAATGCTGGGTTTTTGCGTCTATGCTTGTGGTACCTCAGAGAATATAAAAGCTCCCCATTGTCTCTTGTTCCAGAAGGGAGGTTCTGGTCACGTAAAATGAAATTTCTTCCTTCATATCTAGCAGAAAAGGTCCTGGGGAAATGTTATTCTCCTGTGGAACTATTTCCATATGATGGATGTTTACAGAATACCTCTTGCTTTTTACCTTCTCAAGTGTGATTTGTGCATCGCTATTGACTCAACTAATTAATTCTTTCAAAGCTGTTTTTCCTGTCAGCACAAACCAAAAGAACATAATTTGATGTTTCGTATTAACTGTCATCGTCTTGGTATTTTTTTTTCTCTGATGACACGATATTTGTATCACAGCAGTTGCCTAAGTCACACTATTGGGATTTACTGTACATACGTAGTGATCACAGCTGGTTTCTACATTGCTTCTGCTGTTGTGGCATAAACAATGCTGGGCAGATGATCTTTCTTTTTAATAAAAACAATCACAATGGGGCCATCTTTTCTGTGGTATTTCTACAGTGGTTAGAAATACGTGTGCTAAGGCAGTATGTTTAAGCTTGAGGGGATTTGTTGTCAGAACCATGACTTTAGTTGGAAAAAAGGAGGGGGTTGGGGGGGAAGCTGTTTAGATCCCTTCCTTGTTTGGACACCACGTTGTACACCAAGTGTGGATACAGTCATGTTCATCCTTTCTGGTTTGATCTCTGACTCAAAGTGAAAGCAGCCTGCTGGAACAGCATTTTTCCAACCATGGATGTTAACAGTCTGGGTGACCCTTGTTTCGCCCATGTAGCTTAAAGCTGTGATTAGTGGTGGGAACGCATGTACTAAATTGTCTGCAAAAATCCGTTGTAATGTGGGGTTGCCAGGACTTGTCTTTAATTCTTGCAGACTGGTGTGTGCTTCCTGCTGTGAGTACGCCAAAGATGATGAATCTGCTGGTGGTTCCCATCATAAGCAGTTCTGCTGGTGCCTGAATTCATGGCTTGCCATTATGAGAGAATTTAACTCATTCTGAGTTATTGACAAAAAGAATTAAGAATCATAGAATCACAGAATCATATCATAGAATGGTTAGGATTGTAAGGGACCTTAAAGATCATCTAGTTCCAACCCCCCTGCCATCAGCAGGGACTTCTTCACTAGATCAGGTTGCTCAAAGCCTCATCCAGCCTGGCCTTCAACACTTCCAGGGAGGGGGCATCCACAACTTCCTTGGGCAACCTGTTCCAGTGTCTGACCACCCTCACAGTGAAGAAGAGATTGAGTGGAAAGGAGATTTCATAAAGAAAAAGGCAACAGAGGGATCTTCTTTTTAATAGTAGTAATTACTGTCTTTAAAAGACTTGGCAAATAATTTTATCCCTTATTTTCATTGCTAGTCTTGTATCCCTGTGTCCACGCAAAAGGATTAGAGCTTAATAATTGTGGGAGCATGAACTGTTTCCTGCGAAGTTTGTAATGTTTTTTGCAAGCAACGATCTGCCGCAGACCTCTGTATGATTCGCTGAAGCTGGATCTTCAGAAGAGGCTAGAACAGAGGTTGCATTGAAAGTTACTTTTGATCATCCTACCTTGTTAGACCTATTGCCTAGGCAGGTAAAGAGAGCTGTAATGACTAAATGAGTGTTTCAGAAGGTGACTCATGGGCAGAACTGGGGACCGTGATAAAGAGCCAGAGAGTTCATATATGCAGCTTCTGAGGCAGATCCAGCAGCATGGTGAGTCCCTTCAGCCTGAAGCTGAGATAGATATAGACCTGGACATTAAAGCTACAAGCTAAATTATAAACAGAAGGAGGTTAGGAAGAAACTTTCACGTAGACACAGGAGTACTCCACAGCTCTTCATGTAATTCAGCAGCTTCTGAAGCATCTGGTTCATATGCTGTAACCACAGGGTCTAACTATCTGAATACTGAAATAATCCCTAACAACTTCTAAGCATTAACGTAGAATTCTCAGTTACTCCATGATTTAATTATAAAGATCCACCAAGAGTAACTTAGAAAAGCAAACCTGTTGTAAGTAGGCTTAGGTTTCACCTCTGGACCTCCAGTGGAAAATGCATAGATGGTCCCCGACTCAGGAAGTGTCTAAGGTGAAGTGGTGATGTGGTGTAGAGATCACAGTATTTTCTGCCTAATGGTTACATGCTATTGTACTGTTTGAAAATAATATTTTAAAGAAGCTGGAGGTCATTAGGAAAAAAAACCAACCGAAAATAATATTTTAAAGAAGCTGGAGGTCATTAGGAAAAAAAAAAACAAAACAACAAAAAACAGAAGAATGAAAGAGTTGGTTTGTTTTTTTTTCTGGGGGTGTGCCTGAAAACCAACTTAGAGCATTTTTGCAGCATTATAATAGAGCCTTAACAGGAGTTCTCTGCGATTCTCATAATTGAATTTTGACTGCTTATGGATCTAATGCCACCAGGAAATGTAATTTGTTTGCACATGAAATATGAACACTGCTCTATGCAGAAATGTGAAACAGGAGGAATGCTAGTGCTGATGCTGCTTCAATTCTAACTTGCATTTTAGTGCATTCTCTTTATTGTTATTCTATTAATTATTGTTACAGTAACACTGATTGAATCTCTGAGGCTCAGCAACAGGCAAACATAGAGAATTAGCAATCCCTGCCCCAAAAACCTTGCTATTTTAGTTTTCAAGGCAGGTAGCTAATAGGATATTAGCCCATTATAACAGGGAAGAGAATAAATATTGTGCACAACATCGTGCTTGGAGTTTGTGACAGAGAGATGAATTGAACCCAGCTCCCCTGATAATCTTTCTGCATTATATATTTTAATTTTTCAAGGACTCTGTAACTGCAGGGACCTAGAATGCTGCTTATTTATTTTCCCTTAATAACCAGAATTTCTGATATTCAATATTTCTGATATATGATCTCAGTGTACTTGAATGTTATGAAGAGGGATGAGATCAAATTGCTTGCAGAGTAAGAGTTAAGCTGGGATCCTGGACCACTGTGAAGAGTAGTTTCTCTTACTGAATTACACAGATACAGCAATATACAGAGGAGCAATAGTAATGTCTGAAATCAAAATGCCTGGGGGCGGTCATATAGGGTTTGATTTGTTTAACAATTCATCATTCATCATCATTCATATATATATTTGTTTAACAATTCATCTAGCAGCTCCTGTTTATGCTTTCTTGCTGAGATGAATAAAGAGGACTTTTAAAAGCTTGCGTGAAGCAAGTAGTATTTTTGGTGTTACCGTGGGACATTAGATAGGTTCAAGTCCTTTGTTGAACCCAAGCTAAAGCAGAAGTTTGAAATTCGGTCTCTCATCCCCCATGGCTGTTCTGGGGTGGATTGCTTTCTGCCTCCTGTGTTGACGTGCCAATGTAGCACTATCACTATTTTCTTAAAGCAAAACAAGCACCTGGTTGTGATGTGTTTTAGTTTGGATGAATAAGCATTTAACAGTGGGAAAAATGCTAAGTCATAGAAGTCCTTCAGCTTTTACTGACACAAGTATTTTTCCCAATAAAGTTGTACATGGCCACAAGTCTATATACAAATCTTAGAGTTGTTCATCATAATCCATGAAGTACAGGGAATATAGTATGTGAAAGACCAATGCAGATTTGGAACTCAAAGGTAATAGTAGTTCCTGGGACATTCATTTGTTCAGAATACAAGTGGGGAATACTCTTTATTCTTATTTGCTTTATTCACTATCTGATATACTGTTGTATATTTTGGCTGCATGTATCATGAAGTGTATATGGTGGAGACGTAGCTAGATTTTTAATGCTTGATTGTCTCTTCGTTGCAACTTTCTCCCAGTATTTATGTCTAAATTAATACTATAAAATCAACTTGAACATTTCAAAGATCATAATTTTAAAGCAAAATGAAAAGTATTAATGCAGCGATGGTGGAGCACCTAAGTTATCTGGGGACTGGAGGACTTAATCTAAACTATACAACATTTCTAAAATATTCCTTGTTTCAAAAAGATGCAGCACCTTGAAAGCTTCTTAAAATAAAGCAGATGCTTGCAGGAAAAATATATGCTAGTATATAAAATAGTAAAATCTGTCCTATTTATGGGATAATATCTTTTCTTCTGCTCACTTCCAGTCCCAGAAGTGAAAGGTAGATTGCATTGGTACAAATAACTCTGATGATGACATCATTAACTGAATGATTGGAGGTAACTGCGGTCTTGGCAAGGACCAAGCACATGAAAGTTATGATTATGTAAGATACCTCCAAGGAAAGTCTTTATTACAAGCTCTCTTGTAGCCAGAGAATACCAGCCATCTCTGGGGATGTTAAGGCATGTAGTGAGAGGAGGAGAAAGCAAAAATCTGATAGAAGGGAGCAAGACCACCAGGGTCATCTCATTTGTTGGCAGCATAGACTGTTGCTGACATCCTGAGTAGGTATATTTTTTCCAATCTATCTGTGTTGTTTTTTTTCTTCCAGTGTGTGGCTGTGACTTGGCACAAGGAGGCTTTTTTATTAAGAATGGGGAGTATCTTTGCACCTTGGATTACCAGCGCATGTATGGAACCCGCTGCAACGGTTGTGGGGAGTTTGTGGAAGGCGAAGTAGTGACAGCTCTGGGAAAAACTTACCATCCAAGCTGCTTTGCCTGTACTGTTTGCAAGTAAGTCATCCCTTTTAACTAATATGGTGTGAACCCAGTGCAAGGAAAAAAAGAAAGAAAGCTGTCACCATGAGACACAAGTCTCAAGACATATTTCTCTTCTACAAACATTTAGTTGGAAAAGATCTGCTGCAAATCTGACTTCAAGGGTCTTCAAAATATGACTCATTTATTTGGGGGACACAGCTTCTCTGTTACATAGAGTTCCCTATTCTCAGAAAGTTACTCTTACATATGAAAGTTAAATACATGTTGAGATAATGGATGTGGGTTGAGTTGAGTTCAGGTGATCAGTCCAGCTTGATGGGAAAAATGAGGTAAAGCAAAATTCTGAGTGCTACAAAAGAGAAGTCGTTTGGGCTGCAAGAACACTTAAGCAATTGAGAACATACTGGAGACTCATTTTCATATCATGTAATAACGCATGGCTTGGGACAACTGTGATCCCCCTCTTCATCCTAAATACTATTTCTTGTCCCCTGTAAAAGAACCAGTCTTCAGTTCTACAGGGAATAAAAAGAAGTTAACTAAGGCTGTGTGGGTGCAACAAAAGGTGGAATTTTTAACTGGTATTTTTGTTTAAACTGTCCCTAAGATATTAATTAAGAATTTGGGAGACTACTGGGCAAATTTTCCACATGCTGTCATAGCCTGCTTATTTATGCAGTTCTATAACTGAAAATCTCAGCTGAGCTTTACAGCCTAAACTCAACCCAGAGTCCCTCTGCATACTGTTCTCTGTTAGCTGGCTCTCGGCACTGGGCCTGTGCTAGAATTTAGGCTGTTCTGGCGTGTACCTTATTGCTATGGTGATCAGTGTAATAATTTGGATACACTAGGGGAAATAAAGCTTCTGTAGGTTATTTATAGTAGTGGCACATTTTTATAATAGTAAAAATAATCTAGACAGAAAGTGAAAGTAAAATGATATTACAGTGCCATCATGATTCTACAAAAAGACAACTGTGTTATTACTGTTTACTAAGCTGGAATGAAAATGGCCATCAGGTTGTTCATCTCTGCAGTTCTGAGCCTTGCAAGTAAAACAGAACTTCTCTTAAATAAGTTTCAGTGTAATGCCTGAGGGACACATAAGGAGCATCAGGTAGAGATGTAGGTAGATTTCATAGAGAGGGGGGACCCAAAAGACAGAGTCTGTTCCTTTGTAGTCTTTGAGGGAAGTAGGACAGTGGAGTTCCCCAGAAGACAGAATCTGACAGCAGTCAAATTGTCTGAAACTTCATGCAGGGAAGATGACATGAACAAGAAAGGCAAGAATCTAAATTCTGAGATAGTACCTTGTTTGAGATCCCATCATATGATGCATCTGGGAATTAGCGTGGCAGACTTGCCAGGTGGTACCCCAATCTTTCATAGCTATCTCTGATGAGTCGATTAAGTACTTTGGCCTATAGCCTGGTACATATTCCAAGACCTTTCTATTGAAAGTGTTTTGTTCATTTTTCTGTTTGGTTTTAAATAGTGTGTGAGTTTACTGCACCTTGGTAATTGTGTGATGTGTATGTTTCAAATTTATTTCCCAAGGACAGCATGAAAGTAGATGATATAGTATGAAACATGACATCAATTTTCTGTACATTGACTTGCATCAATCTTTTTATGTTGCATGAGCAAAAAATGAGCCATTGGAATAGATTCATGTAATGCAGTGTTGCTGCTGATTTATTTATGACCCAGTTAGGAATGGCAGTAGAAGGGAAACTCGAACAGTGCCCTAAACATTTTGTGGAAACAAGCAGATGTTCATTTGTTAAGCACAGTTTTAGAGTGAAGTGGTGTAGGGGGATCTCCACTCTGCAACTAAAGCTACTTACTAAAGATTTGGAGTTACTAAACCTTCTTATTTTAATTCCATGCTTATACAAAATGTTGTTCATCTTCTGTTTTATACACCAAGTAAGAGTTAACAGCAATGTCAGCTTCTGCCTGACGCACATTCTTAACATTTTGTTGGGTTCAGCAAAATCTCAAACTTCCATAGCGCATTCAGCCTTTACCTTGCTTGTAACACCATCTGCACAGGCAGCAATTACAGCGGTGGTTCTGTAATCTAGATACCTATTTTAAAGCTCCAGGAGAAAGAATGTGGGTGACATTTCATTTTTTTTTGCAAACTGCTACTTCCACTGTAACATAGTCACATGTTACATTGCTGAATTCAGATGAAATCAGTGTATTTATGAGTAACTAACTCCACATTCCTTCAGTAGCCTCAAGACCAATTTGGATTCTTCCTCTGAGCTCTCTTCTGTAACATTTGCTACCCACAACATCATACTGAGACCATCATAAATGGAGCTGTTGTGTCTAAGCAGATTTCACTGTTGTCTCCTCTTTGGATAAAGTATGTTTGATAACTTTTTTTAAACCAAAATACAAGGCAAGGCTAACCTCTGCTCTGCTTGCGTCCACAGATTGGATTTCTTCCAGTGCCTGGCTTTGCCAAGGCCACATTGCAGAAACTATTTGGCCTGGGTTTCTGTAAAATATTGATTGCACTGGAGGAGGGCAGCAAAATCAAGGCATAGGGAACAGAGAAAAATTTCTGGCATAACCTTTGCTAAAATACATTTTTTTCTTCAACTCTCCAGGCGTCCATTTCCACCAGGCGATCGAGTTACCTTTAATGGAAGGGACTGTCTCTGTCAGATGTGTGCTCAGCCAATGTCCTCCAGTCCAAAAGAATTGTCTGCCTCAAGCAGTAAGTATGCCATCTTCTTTCTGAAGCCTCTTACTTTCCCAGACTGATCAATGTTTGGTTGAAACTAATTTAATGCAATCTTGTGGGTTTTAAAAATTTTTCTTCACCTTTAGAAATACAAACTCTCTCTGGGAACCATCTTTTTCCCTTCCTTTTTTTTTTTTTTTTTTTCTTCATTAAAAGTGTCTGGTACTACAGGTAGGAACAGTCACTTACATATTTCAATATGAATAAATGACTTTTCCCCCAATGACTGCATTTTTAAAAGGGCTGATTTTTCTTTTATAGGCACTGGAAAAGTATCTAATTGATGAAACCTGAGGCTTCCAAGTTGATAGATTCCATCCTTTTCATATATAATTGCACAGGTTTAAGTATTCAAAAGAGGACAAAGTCAGAGGAAATTAATTTTCTTCTACTATTTAACACTTTAATTTAATTAAATTATCCTTTAAAAGGAATATTGCTGTATTATGCTTCCAGTAGACTGATACCACAATGATGCTGTGATTAGAACCTCAAGAAACCATTATTAAAAAGAGAGAAAGCAAGTTAAAGG